CACCGAGTAGTTACATGCTCCATGTTTATGTGCAAACAGATACTAGTCCCTAACAGAGACAAATATAATAGTCTGGAACATGCATACAGTTTAATTCCCATTTTTGTATACTCATTACTCATTTGCTTACTGTTAAAATACAATTTTTTTTCATCTGATTCTGTATAATCTATCCACTCTTCAATATGAGCGTTGAAATACTGAAAATCACAATCTGTCACTATCGGATGCTGGAATTTTAGACATATTTGATAATATTACTTTCCTTATAGCACAATTGACTAAAGTTATGTACTGCTACTCACTCCTCACAGCTATAGTCTAGGAAGGAATCATTCCTATTACTCTAGACAGCAGTCTCATAACTTTTAATAAGATAGTAGCTGGCACCTGTTCTCACTGTTGACTATAGAGTCATTTATACACAATCAAAGATAAGAACTGACTGATAAATTTCACTACAAATTTCTGACAAAGTGAGCTGCAACTCACAAATCTTATGCTCCAATAAATGTATTAGTCTTTAAGGTGTCACTGGATACCTTTTTATTTTTACTACAGAAATTATATACTATACGGTAGAGATTGCCTAATTTTAACAAGGAAATAGTTCATGGACCTCTTGCTCTTTTTTCAGCAGTTCCATGGCTTCCTGAAACTTCCTTTCCTTTGCCTCAGTTTCAGCAATAGTAGCTTTGTTCTGTTCTTCATATGCCATAGTCACTACAGCCAGGATCAAGTTGACCAGATAAAATGAGCCCAGAAAGATGACCAACATAAAAAAGAGCATGTAGATCTTCCCAGAAGCTCTGAGAGTCTGTAAAAGCATAAAGAATGCACTAAAGTTAAAAAGGTCTGGAATGACATTTCAAGTCTACTTAGATTAATTGATATCAGAAAGCACACTGAAGATTCAAAAGTAGTAAATATTATTCTAAAATGTTTTTAAAAGTGTGGTTACATTTCCATATGCCTGAATAAAATGCTTGGAAAGAACTTTAAAATAACTCTGTCCTCCTCTGGCACCCTCTCCTACTTCCTATAATACCCCAAATTAGCCCTAATGATCTTCCTGACAAGTAGCTCATTTTGGCTGAACAGAAAGGAAACTGCATCACAGGGGAACGCTCCTTTGTGCTACTGGAGCAGGACATGGTAATATCCCAGTCTCCTTCTAATACACTACACTCCCTGGAACGGCCACACAGTAGGGTTAGTTTAAAGGGCTGTGGAAGCATTTTATTGTTCCCTTACAGGAAGTCTGGAAAACATCACAAAGAAGTTTGCCAAACAGCAAACAGGAAGAGGTTTTAGTCAGACTCAGAAGTGCAAGACTCTGTATTATGTTGCCAATCATATAGACCATGTAGACTTGAAGTAAGTAGGAAAGTGGAAAACCAGGAAGAAATACAAGGAGGAAGGAGCAACAAAGGAGGACCCCTGATTCAAATGGAGAAGGTAGGGCAATCAACTGGTTATCTAAGGTGTTTGTAAATAAACTGCAGTTGCAGTTTCAGCTGCTGTGGCAGTTGGGACTGAGTGCCTGACCCTTTGTTCCCTTAATTGCTCTCTTGATTGCATCTGGTCAGCCTTCCCCTGTGTGACTCAGGAGGGGGAAGGCCTGGCCTAGACAAGCAGGTTTTAAAAACCAGAGGCAGAGCAACCAGGGGGCTGCAGACAGGGGAGTTTGAGAGGGAGTTTGACAGAGGGAGGCATATGATGGTTAGGAAGACCCACAACACCTGTGCCAGCACTGCTTCTGTCTCCTCCACCTGCGCCTGTAGCCAGACAGAGCACCTAAGCATGGATGCTTCTACCCAGATCCTATGTGGTTTTGCAGGGACTGTGGCTTGCAATTCCCACTTACTGATATCCAGACTGGGGAGATCATCCTATGTGAAAGGTGCCTGCTGGTGGAATCTATCAGGCAGCAGGTGGGAGAGCTACAGGAGGAGGTGGCTAGGTTGAGGAGCACCCGAATCCATGAGCAATTCCTGGACCGTGTTCATGAGGAGACAGCTAAGGTAGCTGTCCCAGTACACAGGACTGTGGGCACACCGTTGGTGGAGGAGGAGATGGCTCAGTGTGGACACTGGCAGCAGGCACTGCTCCACCCCTGCTCCGAACCCTCCCGCCGTGGTACTAGGAAACTGTTATACTCTTCTTTATACAGGAGATAAGGAATCACCCCCTACAATGGAGGAGGAAAAGCCTCATACCCCCAAGGTTGGGAGGTCTGCTGCCACCACTGCGAATAGGAAACGTAGAGTAGTGGTGGTCAGAGACTCTCTTCTGAGGGGGACGGAGGGGCCCATCTGTCACCCTGACATTTCATCTCAGGAGGTATGCTGTCTGTAGGGGGCCCGTATCCAAGATGTTACGGAGGCATTGTCAAGGATTATCCGGCCCTCTGACTACTACCCCATGCTACTCATCCATGTGGGCACAAATGATACTGTGATGTGGGACATTGAGTGGATCAAAAGTGACTACAGGGCTCTGGGAGGATGGGTGAAGGAGTGTGGAGCGCAGGTGGTATTCTTTTCGATCCTTTCTGTCGAAGGTAGGGGCCCGGGCAGAGACAGGTGGATCCTGGAGGTGAATGCCTGGCTGCGAGAATGGTGTCACCAGGAGGGGTTTGGCTTCCTCGACCACGGAATGCTATTCCAGGAAGGACTGCTGGGCAGAGATGGCGTTCACCTTCCAAGGAGGGGGAAGACCCTATTTGGACACAGACTGGCTAACCTAGTGAAGAGGGATTTAAACTAGGTTTGACAGGGACAGGTAAGCAAAGCCCACAGGTAAGTGGAGAACATGGAGACCTGGGAGATGGGTCAGAAATGGGAGGGAGTGTGGGCTATAATTGCAGAGAGAAAGGAGGGTCAGGGCAAAACTGGGAGGCAAGATCAAATCAGTATCTTAGGGTATGTCTACACTACCCCACTAGTTCGAACGAGGTGTACAGCTAGTTCGGATTAAGAAGCCTAATCCGAACTAGCTACTCCGTGCCGCGTATAGCCACGCGGCACGGGGTTCGAACTGCCGGCATTTAAAAATGGCGCAGGCCGGCTTCATGCAAATGAAGCCCGGGAAATTCAAATCCCAGACTTCATTTGCAACTGCGGATGACTACGTTACCCCCGCTAGTTCGAACTAGCGGGGTAGTGTAGACATACCCTTAGATGCTTATATACAAATGCAAGAAGTATGGGTAATAAGGAGGAAGAACTGGAAGTGCTAATAAATAAGTACAATTATGACATTGTTGGCATCACAGAAACTTGGTGGGATAATATGCACGATTGGAGTGTTTGTATTGAAGGGTACAGCTTGCTCGGGAAGGATAGACAGGGAAAAAAAGGAGGAGGTGTTGTCTTGTATATTAAAAATGAACACACTTGAAGTGAGGTGGAGCTGGACATAGGAGACGGAAGTGTTGAGAGTCTCTGGGTTAGGCTAAAACGGGGTTAAAAACAAGGGTGATGTCATACTAGGAGTCTACTACAGGCCATCTACCCAGGTGGAAGAAGTGGATGAGGCTTTTTTTAAACAACTAACAATATCATCCAAAGCCCAAGATTTGGTGGTGATGGGGGACTTCAATTATCCAGATATATGTTGGGAAAATAACACAGCGGGGCACAGACTATCCGATAAGTTCTTGGACTGCACTGGAGACGACTTTTTATTTCAGAAGGTTGAAAAATCTACCAGGGGGAAGCTGTTCTAGATTTGATCCTAACAAATAGGGAGGAATTGGTTGAGAATATGAAAGTGGAAGGCAGCTTGGGTGAAAGTGATCATGAAATCATAGAGTTCACAATTCCAAAGAAGGGTAGAAGGGAGAACAGCAAAATAGAGACAATGGATTTCGGGAAGGAGGATTTTGGTAAGCTCAGAGAGCTGATAGGTAAGGTCCCATGGGAATCAAGACTGAGAGGAAAAACAACTGCGGAGAGTTGGCAGTTTTTCAAAGGGACATTGTTAAGGCCCCAAAAGCAAGCTATTCCGCTGCATCAGAAAGATAGAAAATATGGCAAAAGACTGCCTGGGCTTAACCATGAGATCTTGCATGATCTAAAAATAAAAAAGGAGTCATATAAAAAATGGAAAGTAGGGCAAATTACAAAGGATGAATATAGGCAAACAACACAGGAATGCAAGGGCAAGATTAGAAAGGCAAAAGCACAAAATGAGCTCAAACTAGCTACGGAAATAAAGAGAAACAAGAAGACTTTTTATAAATACATTAGAAGCAAGA